GTAGATATCTAAAACATCGCGATCCAATGCCATTGAGTAGTTGGTGTGATTTTGCCAATGATCTGGAGCCTTCATTGGAATGAACTTGTCTATCCATTTGACTTGTCCGTTTGAAAATTGGATATCCAAGCCCATTTCGTGTAGAAGGTCGCGTCCGATTATGACGTCATGTGGACACGTTGGCGAATCGAAGACATTCGCCTTGACACCGTCGACACCTGCGATTCTGCGGTGTTTGTCAAATTCGGGAAAGACTCCGTCCCGCAATTTCACACATTTGTCAGAAACGAAATCACCAGCAACAGTAGTACACTTCTTCGCATTTTGAATACTTTGTACCTTAGCATCTTTAGGAATCGCCCTTGCATTGACCATCGTATGCGATCCTCCTGAATCAAATAATACTCGTAAAACTTTTCCACTTTCAATTCCTCCAATTGTCTTCCAAATCACCAAAGATGTAGGTGAAAGTCGCTTTTTTCTCATCGAATCCTCCATAGAATTTACGTCTTGTTTTGGCGTAGGTATACGAAGCAAAGAATCATTCAAAAGAAACTCCTTTTCATCTTTAGTCATGGGACCATTTTCATCATCAAATTTTTCCAATGCTGAAAGAAAAGAAGACAAATCAGGTTCCAGAAATGGGTTAGGAAGCTTAGGAAGCTTTGTTAGTTTACGAGTATTTTTGGGTCAGTAATGCTCTTCATGAAAGGAAAATGGCGAATCCTCATCATAGGAAAAATGTTCGTGCGCCTCCTGTTCTTCAGGATAATACTCTTCTTGTTCATAGTTGTATTGATCATTCCATTGCTGATTTTCTTCAGCTTGATAATATTGTTCCTGATGCTGGTACTGCTCGGCACTTGGCATTCCGCCATAAGACATTCCGTCTTGGTTCCATTCCGGAACGCTGCATTCCGCAGCAAAGCTTTCAGCTTCTTGATTGTAGTGCGACTCAGCATAGAAATTTTGACTGTTTTGTTGATTTGATTGGCCTCTGCCTTGATAGTTTCGTCCTGGCTGAAAACGACCAGATTGGGAGCGTCCACTGCGCTGGCCATTGAATCCACGGCCTCTGCCACCATTGTTGGGGTGTCTTGGTTGAAATCGTCCTTGGTTTTGTTGATGGGAATTGCCTCCACGTTGAAAACTTTGTGAAGTCCCTTGAGAATATCTTGGAGAGCTCGAGGGCCTTGGATATGGTTGATAACCATTGCTTGGTCGACCATGACCACGACCACCACGAAAACGATTGTGGTGAAGGCCTCTTCCGCCTGTGCGATTACCAGGTCGAGTTCGACGGGGAGAACTTTCCTGCATAAGTCTCTTCCTGTCCACTGTTCTTTTCTTTTGTGTCATCCAGCTGACAATATCCTTCCACGTAATATTATCGTCGTTCGCCGGATCATTCCGCGAATTGATAAAATCTCCCTGCCAATCAATTGGAAAGGAGCGGAACAGTGCCAGCTTTCTCTTCCGAATTTGCCCCGGATCGTTCTCATCGTTCACGTTGGAACAATTTCCAGGAAGCATATCATGATACATAAATAGAGTTTTCAAGCGATTTGCGTGAATTCCAATTTCAGTATTATATGGTTTGCGAATGTGGTTGGAAGTATCAAAGAGATACATGTTCGCCTGATACTTTGGATTCTCGCCCGTGTATTCGCAAATGAATTCATCGACAGAATCTTCAAAGTCCTGAACTGAGTTCCCATGAGCTTCAGAAATCCTCTGATAGGTCATGTGTGGTTCAGCAGTGAGGAATTGCTTGAACAAGGCCTTCTTTTGACGACCCTGATTGAGTCCCCACTCTGAAGAGATGTTGCGAAAGGATTGAATGGACCTGAGGAGTGGTTCAACATTCTTTCCACTTGCACCATTCCAAACTTCAACCTTTCGCTTGCGCTCAAAGTTGTTGTCGAAGAAACTGACATACTGCATCACTGGATTAGTGACTTCCCTGGCCTTGTATGCCAATGGAGAGTCGCCCTCATTGACAATGATGGTTTGACGGAGCATGTGCGTAGAAGCCATCGTAGAAAAAGTACTGGTGTGTAAAACTTGTTGTAAATCTGAAAGGATCGAGGTTTTTCGATCAAATCAAACAGCAGTTGCTTGTGTGAGAGAGAGTATACTCTTGTAGTCTTCAATCTAAGCCTTATGGCTATTCGAATAGTGAACCAGCCTAGAAGAAGATATAGGAATGGGTCACAACAAAAGTTATAGAGTCTCTCAGAAAGCCACCGAAAGGAGTGACGTGAGCGTTAGGCCTAAAGCTATGTCTGTACCTCCAAAGGGTCTAATCTAGTTCCAAGGTCACTCCAAGGTCATTACAATATGTACCACCGTTCCCGTCTACTTAGTGCAATGACTCTGAACTCTCCTTCACTAAAGACAAGACACAATTATTGAAAATGATACGAACCTGGCGCAGAAACACACCAGAAGCAATACAGCTTACGAGCTCAAAAAAGGACAGCTGACAAATAAAGCTCATATTTTCCAAAACGCGGCTGAGTTTCCGCGATGATGTCGATTCAAATTGTTATCAACCAGAATCAGCAAACCATTTCATTCCTCGAAGCCAAGGACTACGACAGCGCGATTGTGTCATCTTCGTTTGCGTTAGAGTGCCTCGGTAGCATCCCGCCGATCATGTCACAACAAGATGAAGAAATTCTTCATTCAGGCTCCTCCTCCTCCTCCTCGCCTGAATTTTCATTCGATCAGTGCATGCTACTTACCAGCATTCCTGAAGGGGATGATCAATGTGGAACTCTTACATTTATGTACAACCGTGCCATTCTGCTGCCTTCCAACGTAACCGATCACGGTATCATTACACCCATTCTCATTTTCAACGCGGCGCTTGCTCATCATTTGGCGGCAATGAGAAAGGATGAAAGGTCACCACAGTATCTTGATAGAGCAATGCAACTATATACCTTGGTGTACCATTCACAAGATGTCATGGAGAATCCCCTATTTCACTTTGTTGTATATAACAATGCTGCATTGATCGATCTGCAGATCGGCGGGAACCAGGACACATGGAAGGCGTACTTCCGACACCTGGTACATATCTACATGATCCTGGTGGATGAAAGCTGCATCTCGGAACTACGGCACATCCAAGGTTTTCTCGGGAGTCTCTTGACTACCAAGCCAGCAGCGGCCGCGGCTTGAGCATGGTGACGATCCCAATAGCACTAGCAACCACTGCAACAGCCAGCCAGTCAACTGGTAACAAATTTTCAAGATAGTAGGACTCAATTCAAATGATTTACATCATTTTCCCCCTAGCTTTTCAGGTTTCCGAGCATCATCCCAACCAGCGTCGCATTATGATACTTGGATTTCGACATGCAAATGGATGAATGAAGCGGCAAGCTGGGTGTATAAAAATCGATTCATTTCAAGAGTGATGACACGATTGGGGACACAATGTGATTTACTGCCTGTCCCTTTCATTAATAAAGAAATCAGCACAAAATAGAACGAAACAAACGAATCAAGAAATGTAATGCTGTTATTTTCTTTCTCTCGTTTGTATTATCGAAGCACAAAGTAGAGCGAAAGTCACGAATTTTAAAACATTTGAGCAGAATATGGAATACTGTATAGTATTCCGGTGGAACATGCCACTGTTCCCGCTCATGAGACGCTTTCGCACCGACAGGAAGTTTCTGATGGACACGTGTTTTTATATAAAAAAAGCGAAAACGCTGAGAATGACAACCTTTAATTGATAAAAAAAGAAATAAAATTACTAGGTGCAGGAACACACCAGAAGCAATTCAGCTGACGGGCAGAAAAAGGACAGCTGCCGGGGGCAGAAAAAGGACAGCTGACTATTAACATTTTTATTTATTTTTATGAAAAAGCGAATAACTCCATGCTTTGCTCCACATCATCGGGTTACCAGAAAGATCGAAGGAGTCAACACGACGGGAAACCCCGCGGGATAACAAGTACGAAGTGGTCGATGGAGTTAGAATGGCATGGGAATGAAGAACAAGATGACTTCGGGTACCTGGTACCCAGAGGAGACTTTGGGTCTACCGGTAGAGACCGTACACACAAGTACAATCAAAGCGTAAGTACCAGCTGATTACCGAACCCAGGTATCAGGACCAACAAATGAGAAATGACATCCACAGAGATCGGAAATTGAAACTATTGTCTCTTCTCACAAGAAACAAACAAAACAAAAAAGCAAATCAATTTCCCCTTCCCGCCCGCCCTTTGCCTCTTTTGCGTGCATCCCGAGGCAACCTTTTTTTTGGTACTGCGCAGACATTTCCCGCAACCATTCAAACGCAAATTCGAATTGGAAACTTCTGATCGGCATCAGCTGACGCGACAAAAAGGTTTCGGAGCGTTAAAACTGACGGGTGAAGTGCCAAATTTATTCTGAAACCAAAAGCTCATATTTTCCCAAAACCGATTTTCCACGGCAATGTCCCTTCAAACGGTTATGCACCAGAACCAGCAAACTATTGCTTTCCTCAATGCGAGAAACTACTATTGTGCGGTTGCGTCCTCTTCGTCTGCATTGCAGTGCCTTGGTAGCGTCCCATCGATGCCACAACAAGTCGACCTTCACTCGAGCTCTTCCTGCTCCTTCTTATGTGAAAGCTCATTCGACCAGTGCATGCTTCTTACTAGCATTCCTGAAGGTGATGATCAATGTGCAGCTCATGCATTTATTTACAGCCGTGCCATTCCGCTGCCTTATAATGTGACCGATCGAGCTATCGTTGCTCCCGTTCTCATTTTCAACGCAGCGCTTGCTCATCATTTGGCGGCAATAAGAACATCAAGCGACAGCACGGAACGATCATTCGAATGCCTTCTCAGAGCAAAACAGTTGTACTCCTTGGCGTGCCGTTCACAAGATATCGAGCTGAATCCCTTGTTTCACTTTGCTGTCTACAACAATTCTGGATTGATCGATCTGGAGCTTGGGAAGAACAAGAACTTGTGGAAGGAGAGCGTTGGGAACCTGGTACAAATCTACATGATCCTGGTGAAGGGAGGATGCATTTCGCGGCTACGCCACATACAAGGTTTTCTCGAGAGCCTCTTTGCTGCTATGCCTGCAGCAGCGGCGGCGTGATGAAATGGAAAATGCTTTTAATAGAACAAAATAGATTCATTTGTATTTCAAGGAACAAAATATCGTGGCGTTGAAAAACAAATGATGACTCTCGATTCAAATCTGGTTTGGATAGGCTTCAAAGAAATTTGGGACGCCTGTATATAATAAGGCGAAGATTCCTTTGAGCCACCACTTATGTCGCAGCTTTCGATGCTTTCTTTGGTATGTTGCCTAAGCAAAACGGGACGAGGACCGTAATATTCTTCAGCTAACGTGTGGCATCCACAACGAATGCTAGTTGTGCTGAAACAATAACGGAGGTGACGATGCGTGTGAAGCTCGTATTTTTTGCAGCCATGCCATGTCATTACTTTGCTTCCCGTTGCCATAACCACAACCGTCATTCTCATTTTGAACCCAGCCCTTGCTCGTCACTTGGTGGCAATGTTACGAGAAAAAGAAAGGACACTCCAATATCGTCACAGAATAAATCAGTGGTATCCCTTCTTGGCGTACCCCCTCCAAAACACCGTGCACAATAGTGCCGCATGGGTCCATCTACACCAGCTTGGGAGAGCGACGACTCATCCACATGAAACAAGGGTACGTTTTGCAACTAGAACACCCACAAGTTTTGTTTTCCCTCGGGAGCCTCTTGGCTACCATGCAAGTAACTCTTCTAACTTTTGTTTGCTGCCGCAGTCGCAACGCATTCGTCCTGTAATTTCAGGCTTTGCATGCCATTGCATGGGTGTATCTTGCCATTCAATTGCATCATTTTGTACTGATTAGCATTGAACATGGCCAGCATGTAGAAATAAGGAAATTTGAGGGCCGGGCCAAGTGTATTGGACTCCATTGGCACGATGATATGACACAATCCTGGAGATTGGAGACAGGTTCGATGAAGGAGGAACTGCTCTGTAGAAAGGAGGGGCGCATCTTTTGAATTTCCAGCGGCTTCCATCACTTGATAATATTTCTTGTAATACAGGTCGATTGCTGTTTTGTGCCCAGCAAACATACCAGCTGACATTTGTTTGTACTTTTTGTGGGAAAGAACGGGAGTAACGTCCATGATCAGAAGTTTATTGTTTGGCAACTCGGATGGTATTCGTTGTAGCAATGTAGTATTAGCATATTGATCCCATCGCACCATTCCAACATCAGTCCATGCAAAAAAGTTGGACTGGAATGGGTTCTTGTCTGATCCAATCTTTAGAAATTCCACCTTGGAATTCCAAACCACATACGGTAAATGATCCACAATGCCCTTGTTGGAACCCAGTGATCGGATCCTTCGGGATGGTTGAAAGACATCATTATACCAAAAGTGTTCGGGGAACATTTTCCACGATTTGGTCTCGTTCAAGTACATGGTCACAATTAGACTTAGCTCTAGTTTTTGCTGTCGCATTGCTCGTATGTTGGGTTCAAATTCAGGGGAAGTAAAGATGATCATGGCGTCGTAGTTGCTAAAGAGTTTGGTCATGTAGTCCTGGTATTCTTCTGGTGTGTGCCGGATCGAGCTGCCCAGAGGAAAAAATGCTGTTATCAAAGTAGCATCGGCCTGCTGATAATTCCAAGATGTTCTGGTGATGGCTGATAACGATGGAGATGGGTTCTGATAATAAGATTCAGATACCTCATAACTGCCACTAGTGGTGGTGATATTGATATCCTTGACAGCCGAGCTCATCAGTGTATATAATGGCCAATCATTTGGTCGTTTCATTTGAAATGAGGATAGAACCAACAGCAACAACAATGATGACCACTTGGTTGTTCTCGATCTGGTGGTGAAAGCATCATGGTCATCACGAGCACTCCGAGCACTACGAACTTTCAAACTTGGTGGCATCGATTCAAGAAAATAAGGACTAACGTCTATATATTCATGTGCATGTGATACACATGCTTTCAGACTTCAGGCTGCATGGTGGTTATTACTGTACGGAAGGCGGATTATGAAGTCTCGTGTGGTGCGAAATAAGAAGACTTTTCGGTTTCGCGAGTTGTAAAATGGCTAGACTGTGGGATGGATGGACAGACGCTGGTTGTCAAACCCGTGAACGTCAATCTAACCGTCACAATCGGCATTTGAATTAATAAGAATTTAGGCGATGTTATTGGTTTTTTTTAAAACTAAATTGAACATGCATACCGGTAGCCATCAAACCAACGAGAAGCCCAACAACAAAGTCATGCCACAGCTACCATGGGACCAGAATAGATACCTTGAACATTTTACTCAAAATTGAAAGTAGATTTATTGTTTTAATGTGCTGGTAGTTTATAGCATGACCTTTTTTCTCTATGATCGATATAATCCAACACAGTAAGGATTCGTTCCCTGGCTTGTTGATGGCGTCAATCGCACATCTATCTGGTGGCGACAACGGTTGATGGAACCGATGGCATAGAATGTCTATGGGCAATCAAAGTCTTGTTCTTTTTGGGTGATTTCAAAAACTTGAGTGTCATGACCTTCTTGACTTTGCGTTCAAAACGTTCCATCTTGTAGTCCCATTCGTCGCTCGACATGCTATCCACCGAGAATTTTCGATACCGTTTGATTTGGTTGGCCTCACGAACAGCCGTGTCAATTTCCTTTCTAGAAAAGTCTTCGACGATCTTTCTTCGCTTGTCTTCACTCAGCAACAAGTCCGACTTTTTCCTTGGTTCCTTCTTGGCTTCTTCATAGGTATCCAAAGGAACAGTTTCAGAATGTTGGGCTTTCCATCCAATTTGGATGGGAATGCCATCGCAATCTGGATTGTCACCCAAAACCATGGGGTATTCCGTGATTTCGACCGCAGTGAAGGAAACTTCACGCTTCATGGTAGGTTTGGAAATGGACGAGGATTCACTTCCGCTGTCGCAAAAGGTGGACGATTCGGTCCTCTTGAGGCAACTTTTCTTGGTCAAGACAGATGTCTGACTACTACCAACCGATTCATTTCCAGTGTTGTACATGATTATTATTCTTTTTTAAAAGAGGTTGTTTGTTTGTTTGCTATTGCTACAGTAGTCTTAGCAGCTGAATTTGGGTTTTGGGAAATTGTGATGATGAGAGTCGCAAAAACTGGGAGAGCAGGGCAGTCGTTTTGCCGGGTATCTATAAAATTTGCGAAAAGCGGGACTTTAACCGCGAGCGGCGACGGCTGATGTTTCAGTCGTTTGATTGGTCCATACCATGATTCGTTGACCGTGAAATTATCATTGTCCGTTAGAGAACATGCGAAACCCTATTTACTCAAGCCGAACGGCGCTTTGCCAAGCTTTCCAAGATACCAAGCGGTATTTTGCGGTTACGGCTTTAGAGTTATTTCGATCTCAGTACTATCAGTGTGCACGGGCGTAACAGTTATGCCAATTGAGTTCCTGAACGGAACCTCTTGAAGGCAGATAGAGTAAGTGCGCCATGCTCTCCCTTGGCGCTGCCTGAACTGACGTCGTCAATGCGGCAGCTGTGTTAAGAATTGTGTAATTGCAGCCGACAGCAGTCCAATGCGATGGCATGCTTACGACATCGCATCGACCAGATCGCGAGCTTGTCTGTGCTTTCTTCTGACTTGACAAAAGACATCAATACTACCGTACTGTACGTTACGGTAGTATGAACAATGTGTCAGTATACAATGATGGCTATGGATTATGGAGGCAAAGTCTTCTTGGGTAGATGTTTCCAAGGGATCTGAAGTGAAATCTTTGTGTACGACAGCACATGCTGGGCCGTGGCGTGTTTCCATGACGATGTGATCTTTAGCAAGTACCATGCACTGCACCGACTCTTCAAAACATCTGGTTCTCTAATCGCAACAATCAATCGAGGATAACGTGGGGGTGTAAAGGGCGAAGAATGTCTCTACAAAATTACTTCAGACGGCTAAAAGTGAAGACAGGTGATACCTTTGCATGCACTGGGCTGATTTAACGAGATGTATATCTGCACTGAAGCTGATACACTTGCTTGATGGGTGACGTTGCTCAAAGGACAGCTCTACTCTTTTGGAAAAAGAAAGATGATCTTTTGGAAAAAGAAAGATGATGTATTTGATGCCGAGGTTTCTGTTTCTGTATGACAAACATTGCATAGGGAACTCCAGCATAGCTTCATATTAGTCTTTAGACAAAACATTTCCATGATGTAGAAAAGTACTGCATGTTAGTGTTTGTACCGGTACTGTATAGACATTGCACACCACCACGCACAGTTATCATTTTCATGATGTCTGTCTCCTGAAGGGTACTGAACTAGACTTTCGTGGTTCGAAACAGCACAGTCTAGGATCGCACCGTACAGCATATCACTGTGTACTGTGCACCACCATCTTCCAAACACACAGAAAGCAACCACAGAAAAATATAGAGGAGCAATGAAAACTAGGCGGAGATGAGAAGATGAATCAGATTCCAGGATCCGTCATCGCCATCATTTTCTTCATCGCATTGGTCACGGTGGTGAGCAATGAAACACTCGTCTCCTCGGTTTCCAATGTACCGCTCGATGCAACATCTGAAGATTTTGCTACAGTCTCACATAACAAGAAAGAAGAAAAAGAGCTAAAGTCTCAGTCATTGTACGATCTTCCAGAAACGGCCAGAGACAATTCACTGGGAATACGAAAAGTTCCTAAATGTTTGGTCAATCTGCACATTCCCAAAGTGGGAGGAAGGACAGTGGGGACCTTTCTCCAACAAGTGACCAATGTTACTGGATTTGAACGATATCCATTATACGGACACAAAGGGGAACAAAATTGGGAAGATATTGTCCAAGCCAAACGAACTCGTCGAATCCACAAGAAACATGATGATTCTGCTGATAATAATGATTCCAAGGACAGCACCACCACCACCACCACCAGCAACAACAACAATGAATATTACGACAGTTTCTTTGTGCAAGGTCACTTTACTGCCAGGATCTTTGATACTTATCCAGAGCTGAAGGAATGCCTCATCATGACAGTTCTAAGACAGCCCGTGGATCGAGCCATCAGCGCGTTCTTCTTTCACAATCATCGACGATATGAAATTGACAAGTGCTTGTCATCCGAAAATTACGACCCACTACGGAATAGTACTGGTGATGATGCTGGAGATGCGAATCGTCATCATCAAGAAGAGGAAGAGCCTCCGGGAATGGTGATCCAACGAGGCAATGCCACTACGATTCTCATGTCTTCCACGATGACGAGTCAAAAGGATGATCTAGAGGTTGGAGCTAAATCTCGACTTGCACTGGCACGCATGAATGCCCAGAAATTGAGAAATAGCAATCGTCGATCTGGTGGGGGCAATCAACGCTGCAAATTGTTTTGGCAATACTCCAATGACATGACCTTACGATTTGCCGGACTTCCCGAGCTGCCGTGGAAATCCTGGGAAATGAGTGAAAGGGGTCGCAAATGGAGAAAGGACAAGAACATGCATCAGGCATTCGAAAAGGCTCGATTACAAAATTTGTTTTCTGTCTCGTCGATTCCTCAGGCAAATGAAACCCATCTAGAACGAGCCAAAGCGAATATGAAGAATTACGTCTCGTTGGTTTGCTTCTTGCACGACTTGCCATCGTGTGCCAAGCGCATCTTGCAAGCCTTTCAGTTGGATGTTGGTAACGATTCCTCCTCTGAAATCATAGATCTCTCCATCATGAGTGCAAACAGGACTTTGACGACAAAGTTCAAAACGAAATCTCGGCCGGACCAATTGGAAGAAAAGGAACTGCAAAAGTTTCAAGAGGCAAATCGATTCGACCAAGCACTCTACGATTGGGCATTAGAACAATACTCATCACAGTAACAACACTATTTTACAAGAACACATCCAGGATTTCAAAACCCAAATATTGTCCCGATTATCGATTTGCTTATTTCGACAGCAGCCTCTTCAGCTCCATTTGGATCTTCTTCCTCGTTTTCTTCGCTCCTACTCGTGCCCGATGATTTCTTGTCGTCCAATGGCTGGGCCTCCATATCATCCATTGTGTTGTTCGGGTTCTCATACTTGTATTCAAAAATCTTTTCCATTCGCTGTTGGAATGGTCGGACTCTCAAGATTGCCAAGACCAATCTAGAAATCTTGGTTCGCAATTGATTATTCAAGCTTCGTTGTTTTTCACTAATCGCAGCAAGAACCTTTTGAATGGCTTCGGTGGACTCATCAGAATCATGATTGTCGCAAAGAAGGGCTTGGATTGCCATGGCATGCTCTTCTTCTTGCTTCGTCAGAGCCTTCTTGTTATGTTTTAAAAAGAGTACAAGTCCAAGACCATTGGCCACAAAAGGGCTGAAATATTGTCCAATGGCGCCCGTCCCTTGACTTCACAGACAGACTCATCCACTTTCCAGTAAATATCTCCCCGTTTCAATCCTTGCTTTTGAAGCGAGTCCATCAGAATCGTAACCACCGCTACGGATGGAATGGATTGGACACAAGATGGGTCCATTCCTTCCACCGAATCGAAATCCAGAAATCCATTGGCGAGTAGCTCCGAAGTAGATTGGATACATTGACTTGCAAATCGGTCCCAATAGACGTCGGCATTCAGTGTCTCGCGAGTGGAGGAAGAGTTACCATATTGATGTCGTCCCGATTCGTCATCATCATCGTCATCAATCATTGCATTATGCCAAGGACAACACTGTTTGTTGATAAGTCTGAACCTTTCGTCGCTGACATAGTGTTTGGCTGTCCATTTATCGCACTTGCGTATATGGATCCAAGGGACTGAAAGGCATTTGCAAATAGGCGCATGGTCGTCAAATACAAACTGCGTGACATCGAAGTAGGCCCACACCAGAGCCAGCAGAATGAAACATATTGCAAACAGGAAAGAGCCAATTGGGATCAAGACAATCGCAAGGATATGGAATGGCCACACACTTAGTATTATGACACAACTTGTGTTCGAAATGCACTCTTCAAAATATTCCCTCCAAAAGTGGATGCACGAAGGAATAAACTTGATGAGAAGAATGACAGTGGTCCCCACTAGAATAATGGGAGTCTGATACACTGCCAATGCCACACAGAGCAGGAAATTGAGCTGAAATCGAAGGAGCCGCTCAATCTCCAAGCCATACTGTTGTCCATTCCACCCCATTGGAATGCCTGTTGGGTGGTCAAACCGGTTGCATCGTTTTGAGACAAACTTTTTGTGTTCCTCATAGTAGTCCCTGACTGTATTGACCAATTGATTCCATTTTCGAAAGGGATTCTTGTCTTCAAAGAGGTTCTCGTGCGTTTGGCCCCATGTCCAAAAAAAACAGCCAACCATGGAGGCCACAAGCACCATCACTGGGAATGCTGTATGAATCAACGGTAGCATGAAGAGCACTATAATCCGCAAGTCCCACCGGAGCATGACGGTAAATAGGGCAATCTTCATTGTTTTGAAAAGGTTAATGGGCAATCGATATACTGTGATGGCTGTCATTGTCACCGAAAAGGGAATGAACGCCAAGCAAGCAAAAGCAAGAGAGAACACCAGCGTCAAGGCCCCCTTGAGGCATTCAATGGTTGTACTTGCAAAGCTGTCGTCTTCCACGACTTCTTTGCAAGCATCCCAGTATTGTCTCAGAGTTGACTTTTCCTCGAATCTCAAGTTGGACCGAGTATTCTTGGCAGCCTCTGCGTATTCATGGCTGTACACCGTACGAGTGGCATCTCCAATCAGTTTCAAAGTGCCAATCGTTGCACAAGCAGCTGTTGACACCAAGACAAACAATATCGGACCAATTGGTGCCAGCAGAAGTACTGGTAAGCGCCACAACTTTCCTTGAATACCCTTGAAGCAATCCTGTGTTGTGGCAGCAAAGTAGAAAGTTTGCCACAGATGAAGTGGGAAGCGCACAAGTGCAATGGACAAGACAATGAGTGTTGCAAATGTACTTGCAATTGCGCCCCAAACTATTCCAACTGCTATGGAAATGATGGGCCATATTGGAAAAAAAAGGATTAAGCAGCAGTCACCGAGAGTCTCTAGCATTGTGGTTGTGCGGCCGGAGGTACTTATTGGTCGTGGTGTTCTTGTTGTGATCCTTCAGAGATAAATGCTATTACTGTTTGTAGTTTCGACTGAAACTGAAGATTTGGACAGGATGGAAATAATTTGAATTCAAGTGTATTGTGCCCCAATCGTGTTAGATAACATTGTTGAACATACAGTATGCAAGTCTCGCGAGACCCGCCTCCGCACTCATCGAATGATCATGATGATGCTCCCATTTATCCTTGGTTTGACCCGCATGACTAGTTCAGGGGAATGCAAAACCGCATTGAAACGGGGGAGTGATTCACCAAAGCACACAGCTGGCTGTTTATTCAGCAGAGGGCAATCAAATGAGATATGGTGAATGAGGGAATTAGATTGTAGATAACATGAAAGAGACCCTTCTTCTTGGCGATGAGAGTGGAGCTCAGTCTACACCTTGGACAGAAGCATAAGGTCTATGAAGACCACGAATTTATGTCGAATGGATGGGATTGATTCTAGGACTAACATGTCATATTGTAAAATGAAGTCTGCCTGGCAGACTTCAAATTGCATACAGTGGTACCGCCAGTATTATGCCCCTCTATACCTTCTGCTGCTTTCTTTTCCTTTTTCTCACCATGTGCGGACCGCCTGCATCCATAACGATACCCACTGCACCTAATCAACATCCACGTCCCAGAAAAAACGTGCCACTTGAGGAATAATCACGTTGGATCCATTGGTGACGCGAATGCCATTCCGTTCTCGTGTTGTAAGCTTCTTTGGATCCTTCCAACCTAGCACCAAGGCTGACTTCCATACCGCGAGCTCCAACAATGATGTCGTTTCCAGACGTTCGTAACTTTCCAACTTGGACAGGATTCGAAGAATACCATCCTTCCGCGTCCAAAAATCATGTGCAATCGACAGAGAACCAACAAGATTGTAGATGGTGTTTTTCCAGGTCTGCGCTCCCAACATTTTGACTCTATGATAGAGTGATACATCCAGAATGTCTTGCATCGTGGACAATGAATCCAAGTAGCACAAATCGTCAATTACCCTTTGGACCGCAGCATCGATCGTCAGTCGAATGCCAAATGAGTCGGGAATCACGAAGCTTGGATACTTCCTGGCCAAGAAGATCAATATTCCTCTCTTTGGATTGAAGGATAAGAGCAAGATTTGCAGTAGATTCAAACCAAGCTTGTCACGGCGTAAGAAGCTTTCATTGGAATCGGCGTTAAGAGCATCCTCTAATCGAGCGACTGTTAGGTCCTTGCCACCATGATAGCAAATGTCATGTACTGTAAGTCCTTCAAATCGATTCTGCAGTGCCTCCAATAAATCCATGTTTTTTGTACGCTTAATCATTTCGTGGCAATGAGAAAACGTCAATTCACTTGGATTTGCTGTCGGGGGCAATGCTATGTTCCGAAGATTGGTGCATCCTTCCATCGCACTGGTACGTATGGACGAAAGATTTCCATCTTGACGTATCTCGATTGAAACAAGAATGGAACAGGATTGAAAGGCACGATGGCCAATAGACTCCAAAAATGGTGGAGCCCAAACTCGTTTCAGGTTGGAGCAAGCCGAGAATACCCGATCATCAATCCGTCTGAGGTAAATCGGCAATTCGATCATCACAAGACTGGTACAGGAAGCAAAGCTGTTGGATCCAATCGAAAACAGAGTGCTCGGAAATTGAACGCTCTCCAATGCAAGGCAGAAGGAAAACGCAGAACTCGAGATCGACAGGAGTCCTTCCTGCAGATTAACGGACTTGAGGCTGCAACACCCGCAAAAGGTCAACTCGCAAATCCGAACGACAGATCCAGGAATATCAATGCCCTTTAAAGTCGTGCAGCCCATAAAGGAACTGCCCCCCAGCTCGACCAAACCTTTCGGCAAGTCCATTTGGCCTAAACTCGTGCAATTTAGAAAGCAGTGATCCATAATCGTTTTGAGGCCAGCTGGCAACTGCAACTCCTTCAAGGCGGTGCAATTTTTAAAGGTACGGTCTCGTAGTTCCACCAGGGAGCATGTTTCGTAAAACCTAACCGTTTGCAGGCTGGGGCAACCGTCAAAGGCGGATGCTCCGATCCGAACCATTGTACAGGACATCATCTCCACCTCCTTCAGGCAGTTACATTCGGCAAAGGCTGACATACCAACATCCATCACCAGCGATGAAATGACAACGGATTCCAATCGAGACCAAGATCGAAAGGCGTCAAAAGGGATTCTTGTTACGGGTTCGTGTATGATGAGGCTTATGTATGTCTCGTTTGGACCTGATGGAATTGCGTCGGAATCAGTTTGTAGACGGAATATTGTGGAATGCTCGGCGCCATTTTCGTTGCCATCCTTCAGCAATTCTTCCGCACTATCTTTTGAGATATCATCACCATCGTCACTGGCGTATTCCATCGATGATTCCTTCCTAAATAATATCGCATGTTATTACATCAGCGGAGGTGCGCGCTTGTTGGTGGGGCAGACGATCACTGCTGGAACACCTACTGTAAGAGGAATGAGGGGGAGGGGAAAACACGCGGAGGATCTTCTTGTATATCGTATACCGGTACAGTACCGGTACGTAGTATACATATTATATATAGTAAGTACCAGTACCGGTACCTCTGCTTCGTCATACTGTACCGGTACGTACACATCATACGGTACACGTACAGGTGTACCTACTGTACCGGTAGGGGAATTACTCCAGTAAGAAATTTGACGGGCTAGGAATAGGGGCCTCTCCAAGTCTAAGCATAAAGAAAAGTTGAAGGTAACTTATTTACTCATTCCTGTTGGGAAATATGCAAGAGTAAGGGGGGCTGGCTTTTGCATATTACCTCCCTCGCAAATAGTATTTGAAGGATGGTTCTTCCTATGAGGACTAGTAGTAGCCTACACGTGTACCCAACAGGCCAGCAGCCAGTGCTGGTGAGAATCATTGTCGATCCGCACATACACACCAATTCCGTTTTGTCTCAATGTAGGTATCGCGTCCACGAAATGATCAAGATGAGTGGATGTCTTGTACATTTTACCGTTGGTTTTGTTGCATTCTTCTCAGCAGAAGGAGGATGTGAAAGAAAGGATTGCGACATCGGATGGAAAATATCTTTCGCGTCACCATTTGAAAGGATTTTTAAAATTCTCGGACATCGACGTCACAATACTTCATGTTTACCACTTTCAACTTGGCAACTCGTGACTTCATAGATATGAGATGTTAAAAAACAGAAACGCGAAAACGCTACATGGGACCACTACTTGTGAGAACTTCGAAATGAAAAAAGAACCACGAAATGAAAATACCGGTACCGCTTCACATTCCGGCACTTTGCTCCACAAGTCAGAACCTTATTTTCTTCTTCACATCGCTCACAACGACAAAGATAGTATCAACACACCATTCTTGAAAATCGTAATGCCAAACAGTGACACACCCTCATCTTGTTCTTTCAATGCAGAGTTGCGCTACCCAAGTGCTACCAATGGCGAAAGGCTTCTTGTCAGCTTCATGTCTGCGGTTCCTCCTCTTCCTCCAACAACAACAACAATAACATGTCCTTTGCCTGGTGATCAATGTGCCGATGTTCTGGGCCATAGAGACCTTGTCACTGTCATTGACGCGGCATTGGAAATAATCCAAGGCACTATGGACGAGATGATGGGTGATCCATTTGGACGCGATAAACCTTCGTGTTGCGAGTAAATGATATCAAGTTGCCGACCAACACCCAGCACTTTCCCAACTTTAAGGTACAACAGAACAAATGGCTCTTGGATAGGATGCAGGGGCATCAGGAGCCACTCTATCACTGTATACGTGCTGCATAAAATCGATAAAATAACAGGCAGCCTCTCTAGGTAGTTTAGGAGTCACTAGATTCGTCACCGTCATAGATGATGTGGCGGAAGTACTACCCTTTGCTGGCGCCAATAGATGAGCAAGAATTCAGCATAAGCCCGACGCGTTGGCGGTTCCACAATCCATCAAAGACAATCGATCATGATCAGTTGTTACCTTGTCCTGCTTTATTTCCTCTTCTGTCGGCACTTGAAGTCATGACTCCGCTCGGTGTCGCGCGGCCTCGCCACTTGACATTAAGAACTCGAAACAACATGTCCCAAAACATATCACCGCTTCGCTTCCATTCGCTTTTCAAGTGCGATGTGGAAGTTCTGCGAGAAATTTCGGCAATTTCGGAAGTTTCCGCCCGCAGATATATTTTTTCGTTTGCACATTGCAGTAATCAATAAAATATCAACAACATCTTATCACTGAACGCCACAACGCAAAAGAGTGAACCAGCCTCGTCCTTTTGTTCCCTTGATGCAGATTTGCGAGTCCCAAGCGAAATGCTTGACAGATTCTTGTTATTGTTGCCGGTTCGTCCCCAGAGTACAACGACAAGAAGGCCCCCCTCGTCTCTTCACCGCACTGTCCAAAGCAACAAAGGTGTTGTTACTATCCTTGAGGAGGCTTTAGAAATCACCCCAAGTTGCAGTGGTCGGATTCACCCACGGTACAGCGGTCGACAGGAAGGCTCTTGCTCGACGACTTGATCAACACGAGGGTGTTCTTCCAAGCCAGTAAATGACATAAAGTTGCAAGCACCAAACAGGCAGTCTTTCAACTGAAGGCAGCTTTCAAACTGCATTTCATGATGGTACGGCTGACGACCACAAAATTATATGCTTGTTCCAATTCAAGCCCAAGCAAAGTCATCGAGAGACTGCTGTATAGTGTGGCACTAGATACGGGGCATCACTCTATTACTGAACACATAGCACTGCATAGTGGATAAGAAAATAACTCACTAGGTTATCCTACGTTTTTGTGATGATGCGACATTGTACAGCATTGATCACAGTATGCATTGCCGACATGGGCTATGCAGAGCTAGCTTCTCCTCTTTGGTTCTGCAATCTATCAAAAGCCAAATCAGCACTCGTCTTTCCAAGCAGCAAGATGTTTCTACCTCCGAGGGAACAGATCAAGATGGGCTCCTGGTGATGAAAACGGCACCGGTACGATCATGAAAATGCATGTGTTTTGTCTAAAACGAGATGAAACGGTTTTACCATTTTGCAAATCTTGACACAGCAATGATACCTGTGACGTCTTCGGGTAAATTATCCTGCAAACTATTCAATCTACCCTGCCGCCTGCGCGATCTCCAAATGCGGCACGCGCTGAGTCATCTGTCATCTCAAATTGATCCCACGTATATTTATATCGACTAAAACCACGCACTTGTGAGAACATTTCAACATTTCCGTCTCTCACAACCATTGAATATACTGTATAATACATATCATAATATATCAAAACACACCATTTTCGACAAGCAATGCAAAACAGCGACACAACCCTATCTTGTTCCTTTACGGTCGAGTTTCACAGCCCAGCTGCTATCAACGACGAAACGGTTGCAAGTTTATTGGCAGCGGCGATTCGTCTATTTCCTCCTCTTCCTCCACCACCACCACCACCACCACCACCAACAATCTTATCGACTGGTGGTAATTGTTCCGCTGTTCTGAGTCATCGAGATCTTCTATCCATCATTGACGAGGCTTTGGAAATAATGCAAGGTACATTGGACGATGTGCGGACTTTGGATACGATGCAAGATGCAATGGACAACTTGGGTGATCCATTTAGACACGTTCAACGTTGTGGTGTTCCACGCCAGTAACAACGGCTACCGAGTTGCCCACTTTCAAACCATTCCCTAATCACAAGGATATAACAACGACTGGTGGCTGGTGGATGGCGTGGGGGTGTACGTACAGCACCCGCCTATCACTCCATGCACTACATACAACACCCGCCTATCACTGCATACACTATACATGTATATACTGTGACAAGGTAGAATACTGTTAACGATGCTATAGATCCGAGACCGATATAGCCAGACAGTAAGATAAAACAGAGATTCTATCCTTTTAATGATGTGATGTGATTTTACGATCTCCACAAAAGAGTGA